TCAAAAGGAATCCCAATTTTGACCATCCTTCAAATGTCGTTCACTAAATCCAGTGCGAATCGTTTACTTGATGTTAGCATACATGTTGCAACTTGAATAAATCGCAAGGCCTATAAGCCTAATATTATGCAACAAATCTAGCCCCATAAAGACTTCCCCATTTTGATACATACTTGCTTATTTGATATTTCAGGGGAGAATACCTGTACATTGGTGACAGATCTTATTCTGCGGAATCCTCAACAGCGGGTTTTATTTTATTATCACGCAAAAGCTGTTAGCGATGAGAGTAAATTGTGCCTGGATTTGGCATTAAGTGGAGTAGGACAATCGAGCCTGGCTAGTGGATGCAGTAGTACTTATGAACCCTACAATTTGCCTGCTTATCTTCATGGAGCAGTTCGACTCTCTTCCACCACACTTGTTGTAAGTTTCACCTATTTTACTATAATCTACTTAAATTATTTAAGTAGGTGTATTTTCTTCTCATTTAAGGATTCTCTTTACCGACTTGGAGGGCTGCAATTTTTGCTGCCGTTGTTTGATCTAATCAGCAACTCTCAACGCGATGTTGACAAGACTAAGGTACCACCTCACGCTATGGAGGAATTTAACATGGCGGTAATGGAGTTCCGTGAGGCTTTGGGCAAAATGGAGTCGTCTAGTACTTTGGAGGTGCAGTCGCCTCCGGTGTCGAAGCAGTTGGGGACGCTACAGAACGTAGATACTATGATGGACGAGACGCCAGAACAAACAGTTCTAAATGCCTCCACCGAAGTCTTCCGACTGGCTACAACTCTTCTGAAAACTTCTGCATCCTTTGCTTCTCTCAACATACCTGGTAAATAATGTTGATAAAAATAATCTTTTATTCACTGCAAAAGTTGATATCGGGAATTCTAACATATTGCAAACCAATACCACTTATGAACTACTTAAACAACTTTTATTATGCTGCGATAATCTGATGGACCACAATGCAAGAAGATTAGAATGCAATACACTGCCTTCTTTTTATTCATTTTAGCAACTGGTTGTTCAACAAGTAGAATTTCGGTCCTGTTCAATTTCTTTAAAACAATTTTTCAAGCTGACACACGGGTCAGATTAGTCTTCCTTCATCCAAGTGTCGTTCTCGCTATGGGACATCTGATTAACTCTGTGAGTCGCGCCTTTGAATATGCATGAATGTTCTTGAGAAGGAAAGTGTTAAGTGCTCACATATTCAGGTCTGCTTGAAGAGTGGAAAATTTGACTTTAAATATTTTTATTTAAGCTATGCAGGCAATTGCACTGCCAAAATGCAAAAGTGCTCCAAGTATGTGTTTATTATCGTACTAACTGTGAACTAGTTGAATAAAAAAGGGAATGTGTAGCGTTTGTTTTTATTTTTGTGAATGCATCGGTTTGCTCGTTGTGGTTTTGATGGAAAAGCTGCATTTGATTTCTCCCTGTTAATGGTACATCTTTGCTTCCTTCGCAGATTGATCCACTACAGCTAGACGCCAATGCAGTGACCAACTTCCACAGTATGGTAGATTTGTGCGCGAACTCGGTGCTCACTGACTTAAATAGTCGAGTGGAGGCATCAGGTGACTTTGTATCGTCAAGTCAACAGGTGGAGGAGAGGCGAACAGCGCGAGAAACCTTCCGAGTGCGCTGGACTTTTCTAATAAAGCAGCTTTTCGTTGATTGGGCCCTCTGGTCCAGGTGCTCACCTGTTGCCACTCTTCAGCATGTACGACATCTCCTCAAAAGGGCCAAAACAATTCGTAGTATCTACCGTGGTCACCTGCCCATCTTTAGGCTTCTCACTGCAGCTGGCTTCTACTTTGCGTAAGTGTTTTCGTTTGCACTTCTCTCTTGCTAATGTTTCGCAACTTTACCTTTCCGTAGACTTGACAGAGAAGACGCCTAAGGGTTCCCCGTTGATCTGTTTTACATGAAACCACACAAGGTGTGCGCAGTAGATATTTTCCTCTGTCCATATTGCATTCGTGTAGACAAGTCTCCTTTGTCTTCTATTCTGAGAACTTCCTTTCAAGAGGCAGCTTTTCAGGTGTCTGCATTAAATGATGCTAATTACATGGTTGACAAAAATGGGGTAGGAAGAATTTACCATTCTGAAAGTTGATGCATTAAAATACTCACTATGAACGAAGTGGTATCAGTGCAAAGCCGATAGTTGATAATGAACTCAACGGTAGAACCGTGGTTCGTTTGCCTTGTTGTTGGAGCTTGATGTTGCTTAGAACGGTTAATTCTTAGTTGTAAGGGGACGTGATTTCACGTAATTGAAGTCATACGCCGATCCTGTCAACATCAAATGCGCTAAACTTGAACGTAACATGCCTACAGTAGCATACCTGAACGAATGAAGTAATCATCTTCATTTTTAGACCGAAAAATATGCTCAATGAGGCGTTTAAACCGATCTCCTCATTTCTGCCCGCGAAAACAAGGGATTCAGTTGAAGCGTCCTTGATTGAAGCCTATAACATCCTACTGAA